AGGAACTCAATACATGTTTGTTAAATTAATGAAGTGTTACTGGCAGGAAACATAGCATCAGGAATCTTCCACTATTACCTGGTTAATATCTACTATATGACCATTGACCTCTGGGTGGTAAAGAGTGAATAGACTGATACAAGGGTAGGAGGTCTTGAACAATAGCTCTCTACAATGAAACAAAACAAAATGAAATAGAGGAAGAAGACATAGCAGCCATTTAGTCCATGGAGGTAGAAAATCTTACGGCCAGAATAGGTAGCAACAGCTGATATAGAAATGGCAGGCATTGATGTGGAGAATTAAATTTTCATAAGGGTCCATACCTAACACTAGGACAGTATTGCAGCTGCAGGGCAAGTAGGAATTATTCTGATGTTACAATGTCCCAGAAACATTGTCAGGCACCAAAAGGCATCTTTAAGATAACTTAAGCTAATGCTTGACTCAGGAGCAGTTTTCTCTGGTGATTGTATGCTTAAAGGTTTCATGTCAGATGCAGTACTAACAAACATCTTGGGAGACAGGACAATTTAACTCTTGAACATTTGATGATAACCACTTAGGGGCATATTATTGAAAGGGTGAAGTACATGCCTATCCAGTAAATGTTCAGATGACCTTCTTGCTAAAAAAGGTGTTCCAAACATTCCCTGTTTCCTGGGGTTGTCCAAAATATCAGTAGGACATGACAGCATGTAGGTATCTACCTGTTCCTATATGGGCTCTTCTCTATTGGTTGTAGCTGAGGACATATGACTGTAACAATCTAGGGAAAACCTGGGTCTGAACTTTTTCCATGCTAGGGCTACTAGTGTTAAGCTAGGTTCTATAACAAATAGACTCCCAAATATTTAATGTCTCAAACACAGCAGAAGTTTAGTTCTCATCCAAATAATAGTACAAGGTAGGTGTTCTTTGTTGGCAGGTGACTTCCTTCTAATATTGGGATTCAGGGACCCAGGATGTAACCATTTTATGGCTCTGCCATCTCCTAGGACCCTGGCATCATCTGCATTCATCTGTACAAGTGAAAAATAACATGAAAGGCATATATTTACTTCTTAAAAGCCTTAACCTAGAAATGGCATGTATTACTTCCTCTTACATTTCACTGCTTAAAATTCAGTCATATGGCTACACTTAGCTCCAAGGGAGGCTGTAAAATGTGGACTAGTTGTTTTCCCAATAAGAGAGGAAATAGATTTGTGTTGAATAGCTAACAGACATAACACTTTGTATTCTGTCTTCCAAAAGAGGTTTAGAACCCCATAGTTTTGGCTGCTTGGTTCATAAGAGATGGCACAATAAAACCTTAATAGTAAGTGCCCACTTTGCTACGTGTGGGCTGAATTTCCATGTTCGCCTTACCTGATTTAAGCTGCATTGGACTAAGTGACTTGTGATGGGTGGCAGGCTTTTATGCTTAAAAGGCAGCTTTAATAGTCAATAGCTGCCATTCACACCAGGGATAATTTAACCTCAGCTTGGATCACCCTGTTGGAGTAGGTTCATATTCTAAGCCAGTATATTTCATCTCAGTAAATGTCCCACCATACTCCCAATGCTCAAAATAGAATAATTTGTGATTTAATCCTTTCCCTTATTTTCCACATGAAATATGTATGTGTGTATATCTTTGTATATCTGTGTAGACATATGTATAGGTTAAGTTCCTATAATTAATAATTTATTACTGGTCAAATTCATCAGATATTTTTCTGTCTTCATCTTCATCTGACTTCTCTGGTATTTATAACATTTTCCTGAAATTCTTTCTGGCATTTGCCTCAATTTCCTGAAACTCTTCCTGTGGTGTTCTTAATATTGTTCTAAATAGTCTTTTCTCCACTTCCTCGGCCTTATTTCTAAGTCTATTTAGGATGTTCTTTCTTTTCCATTTTTTAATGTTGATATTTCCCTCTTCTCTTTTTATTCCATATGTTTTCTTTGGGCTATCTCATCTACTCCCATTAATTTCATGTACCATGCTTTGCATGCTTACAGTTCCCAAGTTTATTTATCCAGATCAGACTTCTTTCCTGAGCCCCAAACCCTGAATATCCAACTGTCTTTGAAATAGTTCCACCTTAATGTCCCACAGGCACCTCATTCTTAAGATGTCCCAAACTGAATTAATCAGCCTTCCCTACCACCAAAATTTTGTTTTCCCATCTGTCTTGGGTCAGATTCTCTAAAAGCTGAGCCTGAGATGGAGTTTCTTATTCAAATTCCTTGTTGAGAGAATGCTCCAAGAGAAAGGGAGTGAGGGAAGAAGGACAGGGCAGAAGTCATAGCTCAGCGAGTATGTGATCTCTGCTGGAGACTAGCTTCAGTATGATATTATGGGAGAAATGCTGGAGTGCAAGTTATACCATGAGTCCCAGCTTGAGGCTAGGGAGTTAGACTTTTGTACCAACCCCAGGCTGTCAGTCATTGGCTAAGGTCTGTGGGAGGGACCTAACCTTTAAAGTAAGTTGGCTTCCATTTGGTTTGGGCTCTAGGACAATTTTCCCAAGAATGGGACAGCTGTGAGTTATCAGCCAACATTCACAGTGGCTGGGGAATGCACAGTAAAGGTGATATGGGTGGGACACCAACATATCCATTACTGCACCATCCCTGAATTCCTTATATTGGTGTGTGACACTGCTATCTACCCAGGAATACCGGTAGAAATCTGGAAGTGATCATGGAGCCCTTTTCCCTCTCATCCCCTATTAAATAGTAAGAATAATAGGTAGCTGTTATTGAATGCCCATAATATAAATTTCAAATACCATAGCAAGGTTCTCAAAGATGCCTGGGATGTGGTTCCTGTCTATCTCTCCAGCCTTGTGTCTCATCTTCCTTCCCTGCACTCTGTTCTGGCCACCCTAAACCTGTTGCAATTTCCTCAACATAATATGCTCTCCCTCTCAGCCACTCCCACCCTGTCACCTTCACCTGGTCAACTCTTACTTGTCCTTCATGACTGTCAAGACATTACCTCTTCAGGGAAGCCTTCTTTGATCCTTCAGGCTGAATAAATATCCGAGCTCCCCCAACATGCCATTCTTCCTTCCATAAGAATACATTTCACAGTAAAATACAGCTGTCAGCTTATTTGTCTATCACCCCCAATTTGAATATGAGCTCTTTTAGGACAGTGATTTCATTTTGTTTAACTCTGCATCTCTAGCATACGGTCCAGTTCCTTGGACATTGTGGGCACACACTAAATGATTCTTGCATTAGTGAAAAAATTAGTGATGCAAAGGGAAAATGTAGCCAAAATTCTAGATGTTTCTTCTGAAACAAATTTTGAAGATTTTGGCCTGATGTTTATGTAGGCTATTTATTTTAATAGATAAATATTCACAAATAGACAATCTATTCCATCTTTCATTGTATGAAACTCCCTTAGTCTTCCTGGCTCCCCAAGCTCCATTCTAGAGTCCCCAAAGAATCAGGAAGAAGGCCACACTTAATATGCCAAGAGAGATCACTTAATATGCCAAGAGAGATCTCTCTCTAAAAATCTCCCTCTTTGACCATTGCATTAATTTTCTATCACTGGCTATGATATTGTGATTTATAGTAAAAAATATATATTTGGTCTTCATCCATATCTCTAGCACAGAGCTCCTAAAACCCTTGGAATTTCCTAAGTGAGGAGAGTGGTAAAGGTGTCTTTTGTTATGTTAGTGAGATTTTTGGATCATACCTAAGGATGGGAGCTGGTTGCCTGGGAACCAATCACTTGATTAGAAGGTTGGAGCTTTTCAGTCCCACCCACCACTGACTACTGGGGAGGGGAGAGGGGCTGAAGGTTGAATCAGTCATGGATGACCAATGATTTAATCAATCATGTCTGTGTAATAAGCCTTCATAAAAACTTAAAAGGACAGAGTTTGGATAACTTCTAGGTTGGTGAACTATGTGGAGATTTGGGGAGAGTGGCATGCGTTCTGAGAGGGCATGTAAGCTCCACACCTTTCCCCCATACTTTGTCCTATGCGTCTCTTCCATCTGGCCGTTCCTGAGTTATATCCTTTGATAATAAACTGGTCATCTAGTAAGTACAATGTTTCTAAGAGTTTTGTGAGCCACTCTAACAAATTAATTGAACCCAAGGTGAGGGGTGTTAGAACCTCCAATCTATAGGTGGTTTGTAAATGCCCAGGTGACTTGGGCTTGTGACTAGTGTCTGAAGTGTGTATGGGGGGAGGCAATCTTGTAGGACTGAACCCTTAACCTGTGGACTCTGATGCGATCTCCAGGTAGATAGTGTCAGAATTGAGTTGCATTATAGGACACCCAGCTGGTGTTGGAAAATTGTTTGGTTATGTGGGGAACCCCTTCCCCCAACAGACACAGTGGAATTGGTGAGTAGAACCTTTATCGCCATACCAAAATAGCACAAACATAGTGGCTTAAAACAACACCCATTTATTATCTCATTTTTCTGTAGATCAGAAGTCCGTGCTCCACTTAGTGTCACATAAGGATGAAGTAAAGGTGTCAGTCACTCGGGGCTCTTATTTGGAGTCTCTGGGGGAAAATCACTTCTAGGCACAGTCAGATTGTCAGCAGAATTTAGTTCTGTACAGCTGCAGGACTGAAGTCCTCATTTCCTTGCTGGCTGTTAGCTGAGAGCTGTTTCCTGCTTCTGGAGGCTGCCCACAGTCCTTGGCTTATAGCCTCCTTCCTCTCTCTTCAAAGCCAACAACAGAGTGTTAAGTCCTCCCACTTTGAATCTCTCTGACTTCCTCTCCTCCCTCCTCTTCTGATTTAAAGGGCTCATGTAATCAGATTAGGCCTACCTGAATAATTTCCCTTTTGCCATATAACATAACAATCACAGGACTAACATTAGGGACTGGAGATCATGCTGGCCAAGATTCAGCTTTTCACAGCAAGCAGTCCTAGGAAGGATGAAGAGAAGGGTATGTGCCCTCAACTCTGGTCCCCACTTGTGACAGGATAGTTGTGACTTTCCTCTCTCCCTCTGTTTCCAGATGAAGGACCTGCGTCATGAGAATATTAACCCTTTATTGGGTTTCTTCTATGATTCAGGGATGTTTGCCATTGTGACAGAATTCTGTTCCAGAAGGAGCCTAGAAGACGTATTGACAAATCAGGATGTGAAACTTGACTGGATGTTTAAATCGTCACTTCTGCTCGATCTCATCAAGGTTAATGGAAAGACTGAGGAAATCTTGGATTTTCCCCATAGATTAGAATTTAAATGTTTTGGGATATTTTATTTTCCTTGGATCATTGTGATGATTTCATTCTTCTACCTTCCTTCCCAAGGTCTGCCCCCACCCCTTCTCATAGTCCCTTTGTCAATATCTGTTATAAGGTACTGACTGATATAAGAGGGACTTACTTGCCCCACCCCTTCCCCCGATTTGAGGGCCAGATTTGTCCTTACTTTCTGTTGCCATTGAGCACTCTTTGCCTTAAGCAACCCTTTCTTCCATCCCATTTCTCTGCTTTCTGGATGTGGGAAAGTATTCATTCCCAGATCTTTTGGTGCTGCTTAACCTCAGATCCTGGTTTTCACCTTCTAAAAGGTGGTTCAGTCTAGAACTACGTGATAGGTCTTTGCATAGCATAGATGTAGATATGTAACTCAGCATGACCAGAAAGCCAAAAGATCATAGGGTCTATCAGGCAGCACTTTCATTCTCTGAGGCAGTGACTTTTGAAAGTCAAGGGGCCTCACGGATGCGTCTATGGATGGGCTTTAGTGGAGTCCATGAGCTCCTGGTAATAATATGCAAATTGTGTCTGTGTGCATTTTTATGGGACTGAACTGGTTAAGCAATGACTTGTTGAGCTTCTTGCATATTGACCACAGTCTTGATCTTTATACTGTGGCCTAACCCTTTTCAAGGTAGCTTTATAGACATTATCTCATTCCAATTCTCCATAAAATAAGTATGATTAGCCTCCTTTTACAGAGGCTCAGAGAAGCTAAATGAAGTACACTTTGTTATATAGTGTCTGCCATACATAGTAAGTGCTCAATAAATATTTATCAGCCCACTATGAAGGGGCAGAGGTGATAATAGAATCCAAATCTCCTGATTTCAATTCTAGTCCTCTTTCCACTCATCCTGTAAGCAAGGTCCCATGAGTTAGGGGAGAAGCTTCTAAATGACAGACCTCTCAGGCCCATGATGAATGAAACCCAAACATTAGACAACCCCTGGGGGAAATCTCACCCACTGCAGACTCTTCTTGGAAGTACCGGGGAGCGCAGACTTTCTGAGAGCACAAGATGTAAAGCATACAAATACAAAGGGGTGTCAGGGTGCAAAATAGAGCCAGATCCTTAAAAAGGCTCAGCATAAAAAGTTCTGAGATGATTGCACTAGAACATGAATTTTATTTATATGTGAATGAGTAAACCCATCTGATAGAGTCCTCATAGATCACATTTGAATGTCATATAAAGTTGCCAAGCAAGCTGCAAAGATCAGCAGTATTCAGCTTTCTTCTTTTTAATTGCCTATTTTTAATTACAAAAATAATGTATTAAATTAAATTTAAAAATCAAAAGATATAAATATATATGGGAAAAATATTGACATTCACTCAGCCCTCTTTCATATCCTCCCCCAGAGTTAATCACTGCTGACAATTTGGTGATTGACCTTGCAATTCATTTCATGTGTGTTTACATACATTCTAGATTTTGTTTGTTTTTTAAAATACATACTGTTATGTAGTTTTGCACCTTTCTATTTTTCACTTACTTTATGGCTTAAAGATGATTCCATGTTAGTATATACAGATCTATTTTATTATTTTTAACTGCTGCAGAATATTCCATAGTTTGGACGTACCAAAATTTGGACAGTCCCTTCTTGACAGATATTTATTGTATTTTTAATTATATAATATTATAAAGCGGCGCTGCCTTGAGCATTCTTGTGTATGTCTCCTTGTGCAGATGTACAAGCATTTCTTTAGAGGAGAAGCAGAATCCCTAGGTCACAGGGTATGCATGCTTTCAATTTTGATATCTACTGCCAAATTGCCCACCAAAAAGGATGTACCAATTTCCATTCCTGCCAACAGTGGATGAAAGTTGAGCTAGACCTTTTTGGGAGAAAATCAGAATCTTCCAATTCTTGGAAATTATACGTGTATGGATCCATCCTATGTTTGAAATGTTAATAAATCTCCCAATAGCATACAAGTCTCTAAACACACAAGATACAGTTCTTCATCAAAAGCATAAAATTTTAGAGCTGGAAGGGACCTGGAAGTAATTCTTGTTGTCAAAGTTTTGCTTTGCCTGCATATAAGAAAAAAGAGACTGAATTCTGGACCATAATAGCTCATGCCATTAACAAGCTCAGAAACTGGCTCTAAAAGCACAAAATAGTTAAATAAGTTACTAAATAAATCCTGTTTGTATCATCTGCAGGGCATGAAGTACTTACACCACAGAGAGTTTGCTCATGGGAGGTTGAAATCTCGGAACTGTGTGGTAGATGGGCGTTTTGTACTAAAAGTGACAGATTACGGGTTTAATGACATCTTGGAAACGCTAAGACTCTCCCAAGAGGAACCTTCTGCAGAAGGTAAGCAGTGTATTTATACCCTTCTGATGCACGCAAGGTAACTCCAAAATTCAAATGAGAATATGCACTGAATTAAAGCCTCAGGCTGATTCAACTCCCCACTTTTGTTGAAAATTCAGCCTCATTTCCAAGCCAAAGGAGTTGAATGAAGTCTGCAGGCTGTAATCTCAGCACAGCCTAGGCTTCAGAACAAAGCCAGTGCAATAATGTTGAGTTCCTGCTGTGGCAGGATTAGGCTGCATTGTTTGGAGACCCCAGAAGTCTCTGGAGGAGCTTGCTGAGCGATAGGCACACAGTAGGTGCTCAATAAATACTTGTCAGATTGAATGGAAGGTAATTTGGTAGCTGGACCCCCACAAAGCACATTCTGGAATGGGATGTCCCTAGAGCCTACCCTCACTGTCTCTGTCAGAGAGAAAAAAGCGAGGGGGATCCCAGCAAGTAAATACTCTATGGGTTGCGCGGGATGGCTTCAGACAGAACTGTGTCCTCCTAGTAAATAAGTAGGCAGGCCTGTAAAGCGCATTTGGTGTTTTTTGTCTTCTATTAAGTGCCCTAGTGGCAGCACCAAACAATGCCTGTAGGGGTCATAACAGATCAAAGAAATGGGAGAAATCTGAGGCGGGGAATTGAGAGTGGGTGAGGGAGAAGTAGGAGGAAATGAGTTGACAGAAGAGAGGAAAGAAGAAAGAGAAAGAGTAAGAAGGAGAGAGAATGAATAGAGTTAAATACATAGAGGAAATGTGGGCATTAAAGAATTTAACCAGCATTGCCAGGGTTGAAGAAAAAAGAGTGACTACCAAAACACAGAGAAACAGACAACCCAAAAAAGACAGACAGAGGGACGGATCAAAATTACAACATATATTCTTAAAAGAATCTTTGGCAGTGTAAGTTTTAAAACTGCTGACGTGAGAGAAACCAAGACTGAAAGACACCGAGAAACACATGCGTAGATACAGACAAGACAGCCCAGCCACCAGGGGCAGCGTCTTCGTGCTTTATAAAACTTGCAGAATACTGAACGTTAGGGAGGCATCTAGTCCAACTCTCTCATTTTACAGATGAGGTAAGTGAGGCTCAAGATTCTCCCAAGTCCTACAGCTACTTAGCAGCAGTTCCAGAAATTCAATTCAGGTCTTTTGAAGACTGGCCCCTACATGCAGCTAAATTACAACTTATAATAACATTTTCGTTTCTCTGCCTATCCATGCTTTGGAGGACGTGAAGCTCCCGGTAATCACAATAAAAACCATTCTCTCTTTCTCTCTCTATTTTCTCCCTCTCTCTCTTTCTGTGGACCTGTTCTTGTTGCCAACTTAGTCTTATGGTTATTGTTTGGCTAATTCCAATTTGAAAGCTTGGAGTAGTTGCCTGGTATTATGGCTAGGATGTTGGGGACAGCAGCTGCAGATTGGCAAGTACTTAGCTTCCTGTCAAGATGAGTCGTCTACAAAAGATAAAACACAATGCCCAGCTTCCCAGAGTTCCACTTAATTCACAGGTTGGCAACTCACATACTTAAGAAACTCTGGTCTTAGAGTGGGGAAAGGATGGGGGGTGGGGGGAAGTGTGTGTGCGTGCGTGCGTGCGTGCGTGTGTGTGTGTGTGTGTACCCTGTCTGTGTCTTGCTCTGTCTCTCCTTCTCACTGTTTCAGTGAAAACTCTCCAAATTGCAATGGCAGTCTGGATCTCAATCCATTCTTCACACACCGCAGCCAGAGGGAGTTTTCTCAACTGCAGATCTGATCATGTTAGAGCTGTGCCAAAATTCACTGAATGGCTTCCCATTGCTCTTAGGATAAAGTTCAAATTCCTTTACATGGCTTATGAGCCCTGTGTGGTTTGGGCCTTGTGGACCTCTCGTGCTTAATCACTCCCCCTCCATCTCTGGGCTCCAGCAGTGCTGAACTCCTTCCAGTTGTTTATTTACCCCAGGCTCTCTCTTACTTCCAGACCGTCACACACGCTGTGCCCGTTCCTTGGGACACTCTTCCTTTCCCACTCTGTTATAAACTCCTCTGAGTCCGGCTAGATTCTATTCCTTCTTCAGGGCTCAACTTAAATACCCCTGATTCAACAAGAGACTTTCCATGACCCCTTCTGCTCAGCTAAGTTTCCCTCTTTATGATCCTTAGGGCTTTGAACTTTGTTGTAAATACCATACTTTGTTGGTATTATGTGTTTAATTAGCTGTCTTCTCTCCCAACTCAACCTATAAGCTCTGCAAAGGCAAGAAACATGTTTGCCTCCCTCAGTGCCTTTCACCCTACCTGGCAGAATAAATGTTTGGTGAATTAATGAATGGATGAAATAAAAGGAAATAAGGAAACTTGCTGCTTCCTCCATAGATGACAGGGCTAATAGAATCTTGTAACTGCAAGCCTCTTGCAGATCATCTGGCTCAACTTCTGTTTTACAGATGGGGAAGCTGAGCTTCAGTAAGGTGAGCGACCTAGTGACCAAGCTAAGATTTTGAACCTCGGTCTCTTGACTTTCAGCTCTCTGTTCTTTTGCACTTCACCGCACTGGCTCTCTACAATTGATTTTTATTACCACAGCCAGGCTCAGAGTTGGTACTAGCATCAGTAGATGCTAAACAAGCCAAAGTAATTTTTTCTAGTTTTCCTAAGAGTTCAAGTCTAATGGTAGGTAGTGGCTCTTACTTGGCTCTAGAGTGGGGATGCGGAAATGGGGGTGGGTTGTAAGTGTATTCATTACCGTCCACTTTCAATTACGTAAGTATAGCACAGATAAAGCCTCATTTTAGCCATTAACAACATACATGTAAGTGCTCTTTGAAAATACTGTTTGGTAATGATTGTATTTAATCATCCAGCTTTTTACTGGAGAGTTCTGTCCTCTTTCCCCTTCTTGTGCTTTTAAATGTATAGGAGAGAGGATAGCAGAAGGAACGGCTGCATTTTTCTTCCTCCTGCCCTCCTCCTCCAAACCATATCAAACATGTCTTCCTCAAACCCCACAGTCAGAAATGCATTCCTTTGACCAAAGTAACATTCAATCTCTTTGGGCGTTCTTTGCAAATATAAGTCCTCCCAGGCAAGAAGACATAAAGGCAAAACCACTATAGTGACTATATCGGAGACTTTCACGGGGGCAGGAGAGTGTGGGGCGTGTGTGTGTGTGTGTGTGTGTGTGTGTGTGTGTGTGTGTGTGTGTGACAAAGACTGGGGACACCTGGAGGACAGGGAGGGAAGATGACCACATGATTGGGGGTAAGGCTAAAATTCCCTATTCCACCATTTTGATCAGGATTGGCTTAAAATAGGAATTTCCAGGGTGAGTTTCTCTTTCCGGCTTTCACTCACACACCAAAATAATCTCTGACCTTTCCATCCTCCTTCCTGCTTCACAGGAGCTTGTCCCCTGGACTCCCTTCCCAATACCCCAAAGTTAACAGGATGAAAAGGCAGCCAGCACTTTTCCCCCACTGCCCCTACTCTCAGCAGACTTTGCTCCAGCCTTCCGTTCTGGACTTCAACCCCTTGTTTACTCCAAACCTCTTCCCTCCAAGGAGCACATTGAGTCCATCCCCAGCCCGGTTACTACCGTCTCCATTATAGCCATCCTGTGTATCTGGTTCCCTGTCCTGCTGCTGCCGCCTCCACCCCATTCACGGCCCTTTCACCTCGCCTTGGGCTCTTACTGTAATAACTTCCTAACTGGTCTCCCTGACTCCAGCCTCTCTCCTTCAATCCAGCTTGTGCAGGTTGCCAGATTAATCTTCCGAATACAGCTTTCATCAAATCCCTCTCCAGCTCCTGCACCCCTACTGCCTTTTGTATTCACTCCAAATGCCTTCATTTGGCTCTCAGGGCCTCTCACCTTCTGCCCTCATTCTTCTAGCCACCCTCCCTCCCCCACGTCATCAACCCCATTTCTCATTATTCCTTAACAGAGCCCTTCTCTTCGGCCAAGCTAATCTGCTTACCACCACCCCCATCTGCAATTTGCTCCTTTCTACTTCTTGTTCTTTTGCACGTACTGTTCTTTCTCCCTGCAAAGCCCTTACCCTCTCAGCTCTAGGAAACAGCATCCTTGACCTTTTTAACGAGATCCTTTAAGATCTAACTTTTCCAGGAAGCCTTCCTGGATTGATTTGATCAGCTCAGTTTTCTCTCTCTCCTTTTTTTTTTTTTTTTGTTTGAGCCTCATGGAATTGTCAATATTCAACCATTTTTACCCATAGAAATGGCAATTTCATATAATTCCATGTAAAATGCTCCCTCCCACTTTTGACTACTCCATTTATATTACTAATGTGTAAATGTGCAATTTATATATTTATTTATGAGATGGAGAGAGACGCACATGAGTGGGGAGAGGGGCAGAGGGAGAGGGAGAGAATCTCAAGCAGACTCCACGCTGAGCACGGAGTCTGATGGGGGTGGGGGGTGGGGGGCTCGATCTCATGACGCCGAGATCACGATCTGAGCTGAAACCAAGAGTCAGATGCTCAACTGAACCACCCAGGCGCCCCAATGTGTATTTCTCTATATATTACTTAAGTAGCCCTGCCATGTACTGCAGTTAGGGGGTTCACATGTCTGTGTTGCCCATTGCTCTGTGAACTCTACAAGGGCAGAGGCAGGGTCTAATTCATCTCTGGTGCCATCCCTGCACCCAGTGTAGTGCCCAGTACATAGTAGACCCTCAATAAATATTTGTAGAACTGACTTGAAGGAATTGTTGCATCTTCTTGCTCTGTGAGGAATAGTGGAGGCCTGGAGATCCTCTAATCCTCTTAGAGAAGACCCGGAGAAAGCAACTTGTGAATCCCTGAGCCCCAGCACAATCAAATTACCAGACACATATAGATCTCAGCAAATAGCAAATCCATGGCAACCAGAGTGGCTGTGCACTTGCCTTTCCCTGGAAGCCTGCCAATTGCTACTTGCAGGCTCAAGAGAGCAAGAAAGCAAGTGCCAGATAGTTTTTCTACTTTGAGCTTCTCTGTCCTGCCCCACACCTCCGCTGTGTCTGCCTTCATGGTCCTGGAGTGGGGAGAGTAGTATGCTTTCTCTGTGCACAGTTTCTTAGATTCATAGAGTTGGACCCCGGGTGGGGGGGGGGCACTAGCATGCCAGTCTGTCTAATAAAAATATAAAGCAGTCAATGAAACAGCACCCTTGGAACCCTTGAGGGCATTGCAAACACTGTCAGTTAATCCTCCCTGCATTCATTACACAATGCTTTCTTTTCAGAGTTGCTATGGACGGCCCCTGAACTGTTGAGAGCCCCAAAGGGCAGCAGGTTAGGTTCTTTTGCAGGAGATGTCTATAGCTTTGCCATCATCATGCAAGAAGTGATGGTCCGGGGCACCCCATTCTGCATGATGGATCTGCCTGCCAAAGGTAAGCGGGAGGTGAGAAAAGGCCACCAGGGGCCCACCATGACCCAGATCATCAGCCTAACCCAGGCGGTTGTAATTTGCCAGAAGAGTGAACACAGTTATGTGTTTGTGCTAACTGCCTGCTAGTCTGCAAATAGCCCGTGTTGTGTGCAGGTGGGACTTAGAGCCAAACAGATTTAGGCATTTTGAAGAAGTTTCCCAACCCAAGAATTTGGCCCTTTCCAAACTGGAACATTAGCCAAGGACCTACAGGACCTATATTGGACTTTTTTTTTTTTTTTTTTTTTTTTTTTTTTAGCAGCCTCCTCTACTTTGAGACACTCCCTGCCAGGTATTTCAGTACCCTTCATGATGCGCCTGGATGGCAAGCGCCTTCCATACTTTCCCTATGACATGCCGTAAGCTTTCATCCTCATTTTTCATCAAAATGATTGCCTGTCAGGCACAATCCATCAAGAAATGGTAAAGTCAGTGGGCAAAAGTTCAAGGGGAAACAGGATATTTGCATAATCTAAGAGTATGAACCCACTAGATACATAGTAATTATAAGTGGAAAAATAATAAATTTACTAGGGAAGGATGATCCTGCAGACACCACCTTAACCAAGTGATCAAGGCACACTGACATCATGTACCCCCTGACATGATGCACTGAGAAGGGCACAATGTCACCTTTGTGGAATTTTTGCCAAAAAATGCATAACAATCTACCCAAGAGAAAACATCAGACACACCCCAAATGAGAGACATTCTGCAAAATAATTGGCCAATATTTATCAAAAGTCATGAAAGACAGGGACAGAATGAAGAAACATCACAGACTGAAGGAGACAGAGACACGATAATTAAATGCAATATGGGATCTTGAATTGGATTGTGGGACAGAAAAGGAATATTAGGAATAAAATTGATGAAATTCAAATAAAGACTAGAACAGTAGTAATAGTAATGTACCAATATTACAAGTAGTAATAGTAATGTACCAATAGTAACGTACCAACCATTGTACTACGGTTATATAAGCTATGAACATTAGAAGAAGCTGAGTGAAGGGTATACAGGCAATTATTATACTAGTTTTATAACTTTTCTGGAAGTCTAAATTTATTTCAAAATAAAAGAATAAAAAATTCAAACAAAACAAAACAAAGAAACCCAAAATACTTAGCTGTCTTTTGCCCCCACCCAGAGTCCCATATCACTCCTCTACTCAGAACTCCCTAACTGTTCCCCATCACTTGTCAATGAAGCCCAGATTCCTCACATGACATACAAGGCTCTTTGAAATCTGCCCCTAGCCACCTCTCTAAGCTTACGTTCTGTCACTCCCTACACTCCGGCTAAACCACATGACTGAAAGTACCATGGCCTCTCTTATCTCTGTGCCTTCGAGAGACCTAGTCATAGTCCTTGGGATGCCCTCACCTTCTCCTCACTTTGCCTCATCCAATTTTTGTCACCTCCTCTGGAAAGCCTTCTCTGACCTCTTCAGTGTGGACCAGGTGCCCCCTCTGTGCTCACCTGTGTGGAATGTCTGCGAGAACACTTATATTGTTGGTCCTCGTCTAGCTCCTCCCCTGGACTCTAAGCTCCTCAAGGGCATGAATTATGCTGGGCCTAAATGGAGAGGTAACCCATTCAACCCAGTGGCGTTCTGGCAAAAGGATAAGGACTCCCTTTACGAGAGAGTGGATGAGGGCAGTCACTCTCCAAGGGGTTGGTTCACATGGAATCTATTACACTGAGAGCAGGGTGCTGCAGTGGAGAAACCATTACTGGTATAGGTCGACCTGGCTTAAAGGAGCAGAGGTGCAATATCACAAGGAGCTGAGAGGTCAGAGGCAACAACCTCCCCTTCTTTCATGGAGACAAGGGGGCACTTACTATGGTATGAAGCAGCACTGTTGGAGTGTTACAGCCAGTGTAGGGGTGGGAAGGGCACACTGGTGGGGCAAGCAAGGTTTGGTGCCTGTTGGAGTTGGGGCTGTGGGGAGGGGGTTAGGGATAAGAAATGAGCTGAAGAGATAGGGCTTAGATTTTACCCTGTGTGTTATGAGAAGTTGTGAAAGGGTTTTAAGCAAGAAAAAGTGACATGGCCAAATTCATGGGGTTTTTTTTTTTGTTTGTTTGTTTTTTTTGGTTCGTGTTTTAAGAATAGATTTATCTATTTAAATTTAAATTTAAATATTTAAATTTAAGGAGACTAGAAGGCTAGGCTGGAAGCAGAGAGAACAGTTTGAGGTCCAGTGTGGGTTGCTGAGGACATTGAAGGCTAACTGTTTTCTCCTACTTCCAGGGAGTTTTCACTCTGTCAGTCTGCCTGATCTGGACTTCTGAGTCACTAATGGCTTTTGGGTCTGAATAGGGAGTTTTAGAACTCCCAGTTGAAGTCTGAGGCATTTGGAAGTGGGACAATGTAGTAGATTGAGACTGCCTGGGGTCAAATTCAAATTCTGTCACTTGCTAGCCATGTGACTTTGAACAATTTACTTTCTCTCTGTTCCTCATTTTCACCTTCTGTAAAATAAAAATAAGGGCTCCTACCTCATCTGTTTGTAGTGAGAATCTAATGAAAGAATACATTCAAAGTCCTTAGCCCATAGTCTGATACATGCTAAATGTTCCACTGAAAGTGGAGTTCAAGGACAAGCAGTTAGGAGGATCTAGATGAGGTCTTGAACTATTTATTGGAGTTCTTAATCCTCTTTCCTAGGGGCCAGGCAGGGCTCACAGCGTGCATCTGGGCTGGGCCTGGGCCTTCAGGGAGGGCTAAGTGGGTCTACTGTGGGGATTGGAAAGTTTAGATGATTTGCGGGTAGGTGAAGGGAGCCAGATCATTGGAGGTGTAGTGTTAGAATTGACATCAGATAGGACACACCTAAAACCTAAAACCTAAAAGCAGGAAAAAGCTGTGCCTAAATGATACTACCAGCCCAACTGATTTTCTCGTCCCCTCCTCAATTGACTAATACTTCCTTTGTTCAGAAACAATTTATATTCAAGCCACTTGAGGAAAAAGCAAAGGAGATGGCCTTTCTGTGATTTTTTTTTTTACCTGGTTAACCTCTTTTTTTGCTAAAACTCAATGATCTTTGTCAAAACTTGGTGCTCTTTCTACGATTTGTAAAACTTTCTCTTCTTACTTCTGGACAGAAATCATAGACAGACTTAAGAAGCCTCCTCCTGTGTACAGACCAGTGGTTCCTCCTGAGTATGCCCCTCCAGAATGTCTCCAGCTGATGAAGCAGTGCTGGGCTGAAGCTGCAGAACAGCGACCAACTTTTGATGAAATATTTAATCAGGTAAGGACTCTGTGAATCTTAGCTTTGCCCAGAAGTCATCCTAAAGCCAGCCTACCGAAAACTAACTCCTTCGGTTTTCATCATATTGTGAAAGGAAACTCTTGCAAGAGAAAAAAAAAAATCACTCCCTCTTGGGGAGGAAGCATTGGGGTGGCTACTTGGAGGCCTTCGATACTGGAGCATCCCCAGCACATCCTCCAAGAGCGCAATGGTTGATTTTAATGTGCTTCTGTATATGAACCTCTGTTCCAGACCATCCCCAACCTGACGTAACCAACCTTTCAGAAATAGAATTGAACCACTGGCACTTGCAAGGCAATGGCATTGAGACTGTTAAAAATGGGTATCATAGAATAGATGCAGGTCCTCATAGAGCCATGTTTGCTTTGGAGACCCCAGAGAACTCTGCTGAGGATACCACTGAAGTGATGCCAGGTGGTTTTGAGGGGTTAGGAAAGACATAAGTTTTTTGAAAGATGCTCATGACAGAAGAAAGTGCAAATGGGGAGTACACAGGCAGGAGAATTTTTTAGGTTCCTAGGGAACTACTTGAGGCAAAAGAATGCACAAAAAATGGTAAACTCTCTCCTTAAGATACTAAATTTCTAAAGAGGCTATTTTTCCCCCTAGAGCTGGGGTTAGAAGGGGGGAAATGAGGAAAAGGCAGAGAGAGCCCTGCTAAGGGGAGCTAGGGTGCAGTTCTTATGTTGGAACACGCAGCTTAAGGGCTTTGTTGAAACTACAGGATACCAAAATTGAGGGTGCTCTCTGTGAGTGCTGTGTCAGCTCTGGTGGAGAGAGGCTTTTGAGCCTGGCTGGAGTACAGCACTGAGATGCTTTGTGAGTGGCAGGTATCTGAGGCGGAAAAAAGAAGGAGTTGGATTGAAAGCCTGAGGGGCCCTGCATATGAAGTCATCCATGTCCCCAACTAACAATGCCTCCATTAGCCTGGCTGGGTTTCTTGAGGACACTCAAACAGGTATCCAATAGTATGGAAAAGGCAAAGGACCATGAAGGTCACATTTCTGAAAACTTACCACGAGGCAAGAGAAAAAGCATTTGCCCTTGTGTTGATGCTAGAGATGTTATTTCAGAAGGCAGCAGAGAAGCTGGTGATAGAAGGAGTGCACATCATACAGCCTTCAAACAGACATTGGTGGGGCTGCCTTCACTGAAATGCTTTGGTGGAAGTTTAAATTGTCTGAAAGACCAGGATAGTCTGCCCACTCCCTGCAGCTAATAAAACTTAAACGGGAAGATGAGGAGAGGGAGGCTCCCTGGGTTAGGCAGTAGGGGAGCCTTAAACATCTGAGCAGGCTACTGAGATCACCTGCAGGACCTTGGTAGACACGTAGATGTGGACCAGGCTCAGAAGAAAACTCCTGGTATCAGCCTTGGGGCGTTGAGTGCTAAGGGGAGCATGTGTGGCCCAGCTGCATATGAAAGGTTCACTGGGACAAGATTCCTAGATGTCTGCTCAGCAAAACTACCACCAGTCTTTTTATTGTTGTACACACAGCCTTGTGCATGCTGAACACATCAGCAAGGAGGGGCTACCCCCTCGTGATTCCAGTGCTATGCCAAGCTCCCTGTCTCTGTAGATGGACAGGGCCTCAGGAGGGCACATTAAAAATCTGTGGCATGCAGCCACCTCTAAAGGATCAGGGCATAGAATGGGACAAGACCAGTTGAATTTCTACATGACCCTGACTCACATGAAGGGTGGGTGCTAGATCACATAATTATTCCTGGACCTCCATGGTAGGATGGTAAGAAATGGGGTAGATCTAACCATGTAGATCTTGGGTCATATTTAAGAGGTCAAGGAAACATCCACTGTCCAAGAACTGGTAACACAGTGGCATTAGAAGTCAGGATGACTTCGTAGGTTGATTATCCAGAAGGGTAAAACAGTACTCTCCTGCCCTCTCTCCCCTCACTCCACTCACAAATGGCCCGGGCTCAAGACCAGATCCTATTGCCTTTGAAGTGGCTACTACTCATGTGAAAGCATCTGAGAGCTGGAGAATCCTTCCCAGAACACCTTTGCTCAGACTTCAGAGAGCCAGAAGGGTAGGGGGAAGAGCCACTCAGGGAAAAAGAGCCCTGTGAATGGGCCAGGGTAACAATGAGGTTGAGTGGTGACTTTTCCTATTTATATCTAGGTTTACTTCTTGTGCCCTGGCATTTTAGAGGAAGGGATTTGTGATAAGGGGACCTACTCTATCATCTCTGAGTTTGGAGAGTAAAAATTCCCCTGGCTCCTTTTTCTGTTTTACTTCCAGTTTAAAACTTTCAATAAAGGGAAGAAGACCAATATCATTGATTCCATGCTTCGGATGTTGGAGCAATATTCTAGCAACTTGGAAGATTTGATTCGGGAACGGACTGAAGAGCTGGAAATTGAAAAACAGAAAACGGAAAAGCTTCTAACACAGATGCTACCACCGTATGTGTGAACACCTGAGGAGTGTGAATCCTTGTAACAGTGTGTTCTATTAAAAATAGAAAAAAAAATTACCCATCAACTAACTGTTCCCTCCCCCTGTCCTGCACCCTCTCTTTTCCCAGTAGGCTTGAGTCACACCTTCAAATCAAAGATGAATTGGAAACCAAGGGAGTAGAGCACACCTTCCTAATTTCCCACTACCTGTGGAGCATGCTGGTCATTTAAGTTTTTGGTGCTTCGGTTTTTCTATGTGTTACTTCATGACTTTGCCTGGAAGCTGACCAATTAAAAGGAGTCAGTTCTTTGAACTCCTAGAGAAGAGTAGCAGAGTTGTTTTTCTAGGTTTTTCCTTCCTTAGTTCAAAGCCTTACCTGTTGATACTGTTTCCAAAATTTTCCAGGCACCTGATCATGTTGTAACATGATCTTCTAGGAGATAATTGGGATAACTGGTCTCATGCAAAGCAACCACCTGGGATCATAACCTGAGTGAAGGGACAGCTGAGGAAGAAGGAAAGCTGAAAAATCTCCACAAAAACACGGACCAGGGCTGTCTGTACAGTGCTGTATTCCAGCATCTGGCAGAGTGCCTGGCTCATCATAAGCACTCAAAATATATTTATAGACTAAATTAAAGAATTAATGTTTTCATCCAAATGACATCTTCCTCATTTACTTGGCAGTGATTTTTGGAGAAATTGGGTTCCAGCAGATGTGTGTGTGGCATGCAGGGAGGCCAGTGTCCTCTGAGGAATAGCTGTGTCTGCTTTTCAGATCAGTTGCTGAATCCCTCAAAAAGGGCTGCACGGTTGAACCTGAGGGCTTTGACTTGGTCACCTTGTACTTCAGTGACATTGTGGGCTTCACCACCATCTCAGCCATGAGTGAGCCCATTGAGGTGGTGGACCTTCTCAATGACCTGTACACACTCTTCGATGCCATCATTGGCAGTCATGATGTCTACAAGGTAAGTTATTGAGCAGAGAAATATATTCTAGAGATAAATTTTTATATGATGCTCATAATTCCAAAATTAAAAGGTGGAATTTTACTGAATGTTGTTATGTAGAAAGTAAAATTTATTTATTTATTATTTGTTTGTTTGTTTGTTTATTTTAGTTTTAGAGGTAGAGTTCAGTAATTCATCAGTTGCGTATAACACCCAGCGCTCATCGCATCACGTACCCTCCTTAATGCCCATCACCCGGTTACCCCATTCCCCCATCCCCCTCCCCTCCAGCAACCCTCAGTTTGTTTCTTATAGTTAAGAGTCTCTCATGGTTTGTCTCCCTCTCTGATTAAGGAAGTAAAATTTAAACAGTATACCAGTTCCATTAGTATCTTATTCGAAATGAAGGCCAGACAGAAGGCATAAAATTTCCCACTTTACAAACTAACAGTATGAACCAAGCAAAAGATTGCCCGTCAGATTTCCCTTGAAGTGTTTTCTAGAACTGAGATGAAGAAGAGGTTGGAGCCAAAAGGGTTATTGTACTTCAGTGGCTAAGTTACCAGTGTAGGCAGTATCATGCGAGGTACTGAAGGGGAGACAGAAGAAGGATTGGTGCTTTGCCTGTAGTTGGTGACTGCTACAGAGTTCATCTTGGTAAAGCTTGTGTAGCTCCAACACATACTGTTAAAATTTGGTATGCTCCCTTAAGTACCGTTTGTATACAGGAGGGAACTCTGGCATCACATAGGTCAAAGAACTATTAGACTTGAGGCTCTTTGGGATTGCTACAGGGTAACCAAGAGCCCACCTAGTGGTCTGAGGTCTAGGGAAGTCAGTACTGGTGAGGTTGCAACCCCCTGCTCCCACCTTCCCCCCACCCCTCCAGCTGTCAATTTCCATTCTTCCTATCCAAGATTGCAGAAGATGAGCAGAGAACAGATGGCTACGTTCACTCATTTGGGTGCCATGCTTCCTTACTCTTGACTTTTATATATTGTCTTATCTCTAGGCAGAAAATGACTAAAAATCTTATAGCTGTGCAAGGCCATTTCCATGTTTCTGCAACATGGATACTCGTCTTATTGATGGAGAAATATGCCCCAGGCATCCCAAACTTTAGACAGCTCCTCTGTCCCAGGAACCAAGGGAGAGCTGGGGAATGAGTACCTCCATTCATTGGATCCTTCACAGTAGTCTGAAATGTTCCAACTCTCAAATCACACACAGGGCAGTATGTTTATCTCAGATTAGACAGGGCCCTTTCAGGTCAGGTAGAGAGCCTCAGGGTTAGGCCAAGCTACCTAAATAGGTCTCAGAAATAGACATTATACCTGTCAATCAGCCGGAGCTGCAAACTAATCAAGAAGCACACATGGAAACCACAGTGGAGGAAAAATCCATGGAATCAGACTACCTGTCTTAACTTGTTGAACTCAAGCAGCCTGAAGAGAAAAACAAATCACCGAAAGCTAATTCAGTTGAAACTAAAATCAAAGATGATTCAGCGTGGGCAGTAACACAGCCACTGGTCTAATCAATGCAGCTGATACTGTTCAGACAATTGGTGGAAGTCTTAGGGATGAGGCCATAAGATATTTTGGTACTTTGTGGCTGTAGTAGGGAGTTAGTGGTCTGTTTCCAGGATAGAGCAGGGCTATACAAATCCAAAAATGAAATCTAATTTTTCAGTCCTGCTTATTAAAAACAACAGTGCAAAGGAAATAAAATTGAACCAGCAGTGAGTCACCAAACCCGTTTGTGTTTTCATTTTCTTTACCTGTAAAATCCGAATCACCTCCCCTGGCACTTGATAATCTGAAATGGAAGTGAGAAGGTTACTGCAGAATTACAAAGCTGGTGATTTGTTTTCAGTTTCCGTTCTCCTGCTACCACCCAATCTCAACCAGCCCCCTTTCTATACCTCCTCTGACCTTTCTGTGTCCTTCTGCTGGCTCATGCCACCCACAGTCCCTCACAGCAGTCTCTCACCAAGGCTAGGTAGTGCCCATGCTCCCTGCTCTTCTAATCTCCTCATCCATGTCTGTGGGGCTCCTGAGTGACTGACTCGTTTCAGGGAAGAGTCAACCACTATTCTTTGATAATGGTCAGCCAGTGAGTCTCTTTTCCCCAATTGCACCAGGAAAGGGAGGCCCTGGATGGAAGCATGGAGAGGTACAAAGTCCCATGGGTTCAAAACATCATTGTTATTGGCTATACAGAAAGACATGATGAGAGGCCTATTGCTGATTACTAAACTCTCTCTGGAGCTGAGTCATAGCCACCATCCCATGGCATGTGTCAAGACATATCAGTTTGGTGATGATAATGATGATGATGATAGCTTGCACTTATCCACCAGGTAGGTTTTAAGTGCTTTGGCATATATTAAGTTATTTAGTCCTTAGAAAACTCTGTAAGGTAGGTACTGTCATTATCCCTATTTTACAAATAAGGATACTAAAGCACAGAGAAGTTAAGTGACTTGGCAAGGCCACACAGTTTGTAAATGGTGCATCTGGGAGTCTAACAAAAGCAGTATGACATCAGAGTTTCGTGGTCCTAACTATTGTACTCCGTGAGTGCAGTTCTCCAGAAAAGCATGGATTTTTAACTGGATCCAAACTTGTACTAGCAGAGTCTGACTGGCACATTTCATGGAAGTCCTTCCAGGTTACTTATCTTTTGGATTTACTCGAAAAGCTTCAACTTACTAGTCACCTAAAAGAGTAAGCACACTTCTTTTGGGAAAATGAGGAATACAGATTTGCCTTTCTTTACAGGTGTCCAGCTCAAAGCAGCTGAGGGCAGATACTGCTGTCCTTTTGAGAGGTGGCACTAGGAGAGGAGGGGGTGGCTGATGGAAAAAAGACTCAGTTCTCATACCCGAGGGACTATAAACTAACTTCATCATATTAGCAATGCAAAGCAGAAGGAACAGTCTCTCCCACTTCATTCCTTTCCCTTTCTCTATACTTGCCTTAAGGCTGCCCTAGCTCATTACCAAATCTTTGAGAGAGATGCTTGCTAGAGGAGTGCCTTATGCACCTTCTCCTAGGGTGTTCTTCCATGGACACCTATGGATACTCTCAGAAATCTCCCTTTTCCTTCCCCCAGGAATTACTTGGGGCCTGATCGTTCTCTAGGGCCAGCCAGGAAACTGCAAAGTAGCTTATGTCAGAATCTGTGGGTGTGGGACCTAGACATCAACTTTTTTTTTTCCCTGAAGCTCCTTAAGTGATTCTAATATGTAGCCAGACCTTGAACCTCTGACAGTCTCTCTCCATCTTCCTCACTTTACAAGAAATAAGCTTCCCTCATGCCCCTTAAACTGTGAAACACACACACACACACACACACACACACACACACACACACACACACTTATTTCCCTGCTAATTCTATTTCCCCTGATTCCCAGGTAGAGACCATTGGAGATGCTTACATGGTGGCCTCAGGCCTCCCAAAGAGGAATGGCAGTCGGCATGCAGCTGAGATTGCAAACATGTCCCTAGATATCCTGAGCTCTGTGGGTACCTTTAAGATGAGACACATGCCAGAGGTGCCAGTCCGGATTCGAATAGGCCTGCATTCAGGTAACCACAGCCAGCTAAAGTAAGAAAAGACATTCCCATGTGCCTCAAGAGAAGATTAGAAAAGGTCGGGGAGGGTAGTGCTTCCCGGATTACTGGCAGCTGAATTATCCAGGTGTCTAGTGCTGCCTAATTTCTTTATGCCTACCCGAGTTTCACTCTCTTCCCAGCACCTGCACTATCCCAGTGGGAAACAATCCTTGTTCTAGGTACCAAACCCTTTCAATCTACCTTTCTTCTTAGAGCCAACATTTCCTATGTGCCTCAAGGGGAGACTAGAAAAAGGGTAGTGTGCCCCTGATTACTTTATGCCTAACACTTCCCTCAACTGGCTTTTATGACATGCTCCTCACTCTCTGAATGCTTTTTCTCCATTTCATTCACTGGCTGTCTTGGCAACTCCTGCTCTCTAACTGTGGCTGTTCCCCCATTTTCTGCAAGGCTCTGAGTTGTGGTCCCCTTGCTCTCTGCACGTCTTGATTTCTGTTTCTCAACCCACTCCAACCTGGCTTTCATTTTCTACCACTGTCTGATAATCTCTTCTGTCTTTATCTGTCCCTTAAATATTGATATTCCCCAAGGTTCTGGCTTTCATCCCCTGTTTTTCTCCCCTTACATACTCTCCTCTCATTCATGTCTATGATTTAACTACCACTTGTATGCTGATGACTTCCAGTCCCACTTCTATACCATTTATCTTACCTCAACCATACTTTGTCTTGGGTTGTTGCCTAATTACTTCCTGTTTAGTAGTCTCTTCTCTTTAATTAGACTATAAACTCCTAAAGAACTGAGACCATGTGTTACACTTCTTTTTTATTCCCCTCAGTGCCTAGCTCAGTGCTCAATGAATGCATATGAATGGGTGAGAAATGAATTAAAATGAAAAACATAAGTTTGGTAGTTCTTATTTTTATCCTTATAAAGAACTTTTTGAAACAAAAACACTTTCTTTTTTTAAAAGATTTTATTTATTTGAGAAAGAGAGAGAGAGAGAGAGAGAGAGAGAGTGCTCACGAGCAGGGGGGAGGGGCAGAAGGAGACAGAGAAGTAGATTCCCCACAGAGCAGGGAGCCTGACATGGGACTCAGCCTCAGGACCCTGGGATCGTGACCTGAGTCGAAGGCAGACGCTTAACTGACTGAGCCACCCAGGTGCCCTTAATTACTTTCTTTAACTCAGGAAATAGCAAAAACATAATGCTGAACAATTTTAAATAGAAAGAGAGCAGAGGCCAGAAAAGGGTGGAGAACTTTTTAGATACTCCTGAATTAGGTTTTCAGTATGGCTGCTGAAGTTTTATCAAGTAATGTTCACTGTCCGAACACCTAACATGGCCATATTAAAATGTAAGAACAAAACACATTCTAAGGGCAAATAGAATATATTCTTATCTATATATGCTACTTGTCCATGCCCCTAACACAAATGATTGAAAGAAAATTCTACTTCTTTTCAGATTTTCCAATTGTCTTAGCAATAATTCTCTTGGGAAATAAATAGCCCCATGAGATCCCTCCTTCCTACCCTAAGACATAAGAAAGGGACACATTTTTTTTTTTTATTACAACAAACATGCTTGGATCCTGAGTCCCTACCTGGGCCTTTCTGGTTTGGCTTTTAAGTTTATTTGTCCCTGTTGACAGATATAAGTATCTTGGGTGTAACTGTGACTTGGAACAAGAGTGTAAATCAGAAGTGTAGTCATGTCTGCATCATTATAAACTTGCTTTCTTGTAGGGCAAAGAGTTTATTACTCATTGTAGGACTTCCATCAGATTCCCAGAGCTATTTGGTAGCAACTTTATTCTTTTATGCAGCTACATTCCTTCCCTTGGCAGTGTTCCTCTATTAGCATTGGATGTATACCTGTTGACTATAACCCCAACTGACTGGTACTCTACAGGGCCAGTTGTTGCTGGAGTGGTGGGCCTCACCATGCCCAGATACTGCCTGTTTGGAGACACTGTGAACACAGCTTCTCGGATGGAATCAACAGGCTTACGTGAGTACCTAAGTGATGGGATGGGATGGTAACCTCCTACTGTTGGAAAAGTGATTTTCAAGAAGGGGAAGAAGAGCAGGATACCTGATGTTTTAATGTTTTTTTTTTTTAAGTAAAAAATAATTTGAGAAGAATAAGATTTTATACACATATTTCCTGGTCTCTAATGGCAAGCCAGTAGGGGGTGATGTTGGATTAAACATGTACCTTTCTTATTCTAGAAATGAAGCTGTAGCTAAGTGACACTGAAAAAGTCAGTCAATCTGACTGAAACAACTAAAAATGTCCTTTGGGTACAGAAAAATATTGGCCAGCCTGGTGGGGAAGTCATGTTGAAAAAAGAAAAAGTAAGGGACTGGCATTTTTAGTTTTTCATTTAGTTTGTGGAGACACACCCAGAATCAGCTGCCTCCCACCCAACTGCTGTTTGCTGCTCTAGTCCTCTTTCTGAACTTGTTAGGATCCTAGGAGTTCTGGTTTTATCAAATAGCCCCCTTGAATTTAGCTAGCAATAATCCCTCAACCTAAGGAGCTTGGAAATCTGAAATAGTCAATTCCAATTTGCCTGTATATAAAATCTTTAGTTTTTATCAAAACAGGCATGGTGTCAAAGATACCATTTCTTCCCCCTCGCCTTCTCTGAGAATAAAACTGTACAAATCTTTACGCCATCTGTCTGTTGCCGGCACCTCTTTATTGGTTATTTACTGCCACTACTAAGGCAATGTCAGAATCACAGCATGTCATTACCTTTATCATGGTTGAGCAAAGCAATTTGTTTATGCTAATATAGGACAGCATAGAAAACAATAATAAGTTCTATATACAGTTTTCATGGGTTTTCTATTTAAAAAAACACTTAAGCTCTTAGCAGCCCTGGCTTTGGCAGCTACTAGGCAAGACAAGTTCTTCCCAAACTCCAGCAGTATACGCAAACTAGTCTCTGATGATATGGTGGCCTATATCACAGTGGGTGGTGCCCTATCTGACCCCACTCCTCATCACTCATGTGCAGAAACAGGCTTGCACAATGGGTCCAGTCTTAGTCAATCTAGCCTACGCAGCCATGATTAAGGAGGCAGCACGGAACTTAGAAGCTGTTGTCAGAATAAATTTTCTGACATCTGGGAAAGTCTTCGAACTCCACAGACACGGCAGAAGCCATGGAAGTAGTCATCCAGGAACCACTGCATGCATATGACTTTGCTCTTGAAGTGCAACCCAAGATGAAGTGAAATTGATCATGGAACCGCAATGCAGATTTGGCACGGCACTCTGGACTGATGTAAGCTTGTAGAAGACTGAAGTCATATTCTGGTCTGCACCAGGGAAACTCCACTCATTTCACATTGGAAATATAGAGCTGAGAGCAGAAATTGAGTTTTCAGATGTAGGCAGCACCTTGTCCAGTGATGAGTTAGGAAGAAGAAAATGGAGTGAAACATACACAGCAGGTGTTTATTAAGCACTGACTATGCAAGGAATGCATTGTGAGGGATACAAATAAGCAGACACATGTGGTCTCAGCACTAAAGGAGCTGGTTAGTGTGCTTTTCTGGAAACTAATGACTGTGACCAAAATAGAGCATTAAGCTCCACACCTGAGAGAAGATTTGTAAAGAGGTAGCCTCATGTTGGATATGAGACTAGGACATGTCAGAGGTACCTCCGTTATGCCCAGTTGAATTCACTAATTCTGGATTCTGGAATGGAAGTAACTAGTGACCCAGTCCTGGAGTGATTCTCCTTGCCACATACCTGGGTGCTCGTTGGAACGAGCTATCTCTCTCTTTTGACCTGTGTTCCCCACTAGTAGGATTATGACTGACAAACAGATGCTAGTGGAATGGCATACATGGAGCTGGCAAGGGGCACCCAGACGAGCAGATGGCTTTTAGGAACCCTTTTTGAGCAGAGGTTTTGGGTGACCATGACTTAGGGAGGAAGATACAAACAACAGTACTGAGCTGGAAGGAAAGTTATTATGTTATTATGTGAAAGTTATTATAAGAACACATAGCAGAAATTTCTTGCAGTTCTTTACAGCCTATGCCTTCCTACTTAGATTGTTCTCAGCTTCCAAAAGAATTATTTTCTCAAGTGTGGGAATAAGTCTTGGACTTTTATCTAAGACTCAACTTGAACAGGTCTTACTTCATAGGATAACCGTTTTCAAGAAGGTCAAGGATTCTACCTGAGTTAATAATAAGTGATTGTTCTTCACCAAAGAATTACACTTAGTTTCTGCATAAAATTTTTAGTCTTAGTTCTCCATGTAACACTCTTATCCCAGGTTGGGCTCACTAGTTGGAAAATAATACATTCGTGTGTGTATACATCTAGATGCATCCACCCAAAGGAAAGCTATAAATGTACAGTTGCCACAGAATGTTGACCGAGGTCTTGGGACATTTTTTATTGATGTTCTATTTTAAGTGCAGCAATATTGGAAGATAGTTGTATGGATGTGTATGTAAAAAGACACCCTGTTGGTACGTGCACCCCGATGTTTATAGCAGCAATGTCCACAATAGCCAAACTGTGGAAAGAGCCAAGATGTCCATCGACAGACGAATGGATAAAGAAGATGTGGTATATATACACAATGGAATATTATGCAGCCATCAAAAGGAATGAGATCTCGCCATTTGCAACGACATGGATGGAACTGGAGGGTGTTATGCTGAGTGAAATAAGTCAATCAGAGAAAGACATGTATCCTATGACCTTGCTGATATGAGGAATTTTTAACCCCAGGAAACAAACTGAGGGTTGCTGGAGTGGTGGGGGGTGGGAGGGATGGGGTGGCTGGTGATGGACACTGGGGAGGGTATGTGCTACGGTGAGTGCTGTGAATTGTGCAAGTCTGTTGAATCACAGATCTGTACTTCTGAAACAAATAATGCAGTATATGTTAAGGAAAAAAAAAAAAGAAGAAGAAGATAGCAGGAGGGGAAGAATGAAGGGGAGTAAGTCGGAGGGGGAGAAGAACCATGAGAGACGATGGACTCTGAAAAACAAACTGAGGGTTCTAGAGGGGAGGGAGTTGGGAGGATGGGTTAGCCTGGTGATGGGTATTAAAGAGGGCACGTTCTGCGTGGAGCACTGGGTGTTATGCCCAAACAATGAATCACGGAACACTACATCAAAAACTAATGATGTAATGTATGGTGATTAACATAACCATAAAAAAGTAAAAAAAAAAAAGACACCCTGTTGTCTCTTAAGTAGGATATGTAGACCTTGGGAGCTCTGCTTTAGCAGCAGCCTGTAGAAGAAGCTGCTGAAACCTAATTTCCCTCTGAGGAGGTCACATTTCAGCTGAGAGCACAGTAGTGGTAGCTGGTTTCTCAGTCACAACCCTCGAGTTAAATTAACACCTTTCTATTGCATGACCTTTCATCTGAGATGGTGTCTAGGAGGCTGATAGGTGCTATAGCTAACACCTTATTTGGGCCTGGTGAGGAAGGCCACCACTCCCCATTCCTCCTCCTGTGAAACCCTAACTGAAGCTCTCTCTCAGGGACTTTTCTTAGGGTCTCATTCATTTAGGAGTGGGGGGCATTTATTACATTAATATTTTCTCATTGATTTTACCTGGAAGGATCCAAGGTCATGTCTGTCTTTCTTTTACAGCTTACCGCATTCATGTCAGTCACAGCACTGTGACAATTCTTCAAGCTCTGAGTGAAGGCTATGAAGTGGAGCTTCGAGGAAGGACAGAGCTCAGGGTATAATGTCCTTTTGTTTTTGTTTTTGTTTTTTTTTTAAATCAAACCACTTGGACACACCTGCTTCTGGAGAGGTCATGGTCTGCTGAAAGAGTTTACCTGGATGTCTGAGACTTGGAGCTATAATTTGGGCAGAATTTCCAGCCCTATTTGTGGTTCCCAAGAGATTGTTCCTTTTTGCTTTGATCTTCTTCTCTTTAAAATATGGCCACAGTGAGGAGGATTGTTAGAATTCCTTCTGAATTATTCGGACTATGAGCTGCATCTTTCTCTCTTAAAGGATTGCCCAGAATTTGGGTTTTCAATGAGCTGCACTATTATTTATTTAGATCTTCTAACTTCCATTTTGTTTACTCTTTGGCAGTTGCAGACATGATTCAATAAACTAAAGTATTAGTGAGTTTGGGTTTTCTACTTGCCTGCTCAGTGGCCACATTTCTAATTTTTCATCTACACCATTGACCCCCTTCCATTTACAGAGAGGTTTTATGTCTTCCCCGAAGGACCAGGAGGAATAAAGTCAGTTCCTGTGAAAGACAAACATTTTGTAGCACCTTTTCTTTCGGTTAGGACTATCCCTTGATCTAGGATTCAGGATTAGGATAATTTTCCCTTTTCTTCCTTTCTTTTTTGCCATCTCCACTGGATCCTTTTAATTTTCCTCTGGATAACCCCAGAGCCCCTGACTTCCCCATTTGTAAGAGCCTCTAGAGAGCTGATCATCTAACTTCTTCATTTTTAGACGAAAAACCAAAGCCCAGAGAGGTGAAGTAACTTGGTAAGGGTCACACAGTCAACTGATGGCAGAATCAGGCCAAAACCCAGGAAGTCTGACTTCCCACTCAGTACCCTTTCTATGGTACCATTGTGCATGAAAATTATTTTCTCAGCGATATGCTTGGGCAAAGCAAAACCCACGTACTGAGTGATGCACAATTTGTTCTGTCATTAACAAGCCTTCCTCAAATGGTGGCAATTTACGTGTAAAAGGATTTCAGAAGTTAAAGGTGGGAAGGCTTGATTCTGGTTGATCAGTTACTTTTCTGGCTAGTTCTGGATTGTCTCTTCCAAAAGATCCTAATATCTTCTAGCAGATGGGATGAGTCATTTATGAGGGGACAGAGGTTCCTTTCCCACCTCTGCAGAGAACTCAGTGAGATGATAGGAGTGGCAACAGTACTTGAACAGTGAATCACATCACTCAAGGCTTTTGTGATACCTCTATATATTGACATTTCTTAGCAGAGGAGGACAAAGGTGGCTTTATTTCCTGAGGCACTTTCCTGTCTATATTGCTGGGCACAGATTCCATCATTTAAAAGCTGGAGAGCTAAAGAGGTGACACTTTTGAAACTGAAAAGGAAAATATGCCCCACCCCATGGTTTTTATTGCCCCCCAAATTCCAGTCAGGAAGCATTATACCTTTGGGTGTTTTGAGTACAAAAGCAGGACTACTTCAAAAGGGCCCTTTGCAGCTTCCCAATTTCCCTTACCCCAGGGAATTTGGGAACCTGCTACAGCAAGTTGGAGGAAGAAGCAGGGAGAGGCTTCCCCTAAGGCCCTACATCAGGCCATGCTTATTGAGGTGGTAGAGGCTTCCTGATGGAGAGGGAGATACTGAGAGAGAAGAGAGGGGGCCCCAAGGGAGAGGAAGGGGCAATGTGGAGAAGAGAATAAGAAGTACCAAAGAAGGAAGGGAGAAAATGGGAGATCCTTTCTGCCTCTGTACCCCTGCCCCTGACCAGAGGCAGGTATTGGACATTACATAGTAGGGACTGGGAGACAGGAGATTCCTTGTTCCTTGAGGGCATGCAGTATATCCCCAATGAGACCATATCACGAGTACACTTCAGAAATTCTGATTCAATATTTCCATCCCTCATTCACTCTGTGTTGTTGGAAAGCAAGAATTGCTTTAGTACATGGGTCAGAAGGACCACATTTGATAGCCTGCCAGGTGTGATGGCCAAGACGATGGTAGAAAACATCCTCTCCTTCAAGCGGGCTGGTATTTGAAATTCCTTCATCAGAGCCTCTTCTCTTGGGCTCAAGGTTTAGATCCAGTAACAACACTCTTTTCCCACTCCATCTCCTTCATTGGGGTGATGACACTTTAAGTTGTTTCGCCTAGTGGGACTCAAAAGTGTGGATTGGGTTTGGTGAGAGAAGAGAACATAGTGCAGTTGAGTAATTAGGTGGGTGGGGTTTACAAAGAAAGACGTCAAACTGAGGAAGCTAAGGTAGATTGGGGGAGGACTCATTTAGAGATGACAAGCTCAGCCTCTCTGGGGAGTTGTCCTGCCCACTCCAACCCCCTTTGGACTCTACTGGCAACAAATCATCAGTGCTTAACTGACCAATTCTGCCCTTTTCAATATTTCTCTCCTAATGGCCTGGTGATAAGTCATCTTATTACCTCTTCTCTTACATGAATCCTATTTTAGTTACTGTTTTACTGACAAGTTCGAAGCTTCTTGCTGAGACTTTGTATATTTTGAGGCTTATCAGTTGTATTTACTAGGGCCTCTTAGGTAGATTTACATTCTGAGAAGACTTTCTTAAATGGTTGTTCTCAGCCAGTTTATGTCCTTGCCAGACGTGGACACCTGTGACCTTGTCTCTGAATTCTGGGGCTAAATAGTATTTGATTCTCAGGCCCCTAAGCAGTAGTCCTGTTTTATTTGTGATTTCTCTTTTTTCCCCAACCTCTTCCACCCCTATCATCAACTCCTAACACTCAAATACACAAGTTTGCACATGAGTAAGCATGTGCACACACACGTGCACACACACACACCAGCAATTGAGCTAAGAAGTAATGGGGTTGGGGGCACCTGGGTGGCTCAGTTGGTTAAGCGTCTGACTCTTGATTTTGGCTCAGGTCATGATCTCAGGGTTGTGAGATGGAGCCCTGCATCAAGCTCTGTGCTGGGCATGGAGCCTGCTTAAGATTTTCTCTCTCTCTCTCTCTCTCTCTCTCTCTCTCCCTCTCTTTCTGCCCCTCCCCACCTCCCTCTCTAAGAAAAAAAGAAGTAATGAGGTTGTATTGGCAGAGTCATGAAGGTCAGAAGATCTGGTCTGTAATTCTTGTCCCATCAATGACTCAATGTGTGACATTGGACAAATAACTTTATCCTCTCTGTGCTTCCATTTCTTCACATAGAGTCCTCTTCTGACCTGTGATTATCAGGAAGCTCATTAATCACAAACTATAAAATTCCCAACAGTTGCTTTTTGGCCTCTAGACCTGTCCCTTGACTCCAGTGTGTTGGAAAAATTATGTGGTATAGAAGGAAGAGCACTTAAAATTTGGAGTCTAAGATGTTAACTAGACTTATTATGATGAGCATTTTACAATATATATACATATCAAATCATTATATTGTACAGCTGAAACTAATATAATGCTGTGTGTCAGTTATACCTCAATAAAAATAGCTAAGTCATAGTAAAAAGAAAATAAATAAAACTTGGAGTTTAGTAAAATTGGTTCAAGTTCCAGCTATGCCTGCTTATTGACAAGTCATTTAATTTCCATGAAACTCAGTGTCCCTATTTGCAGAATGAGGTTAATAATAAACGCACCTTCCAGAGTTTTTGTGAGAATTAAAAAAGACAGGAGATGCCGAAGTGTCTTAAAAGTGTCAGGCCAAAGTAAGATGCTATTATTGGGGGGGGGGTGTCCTGGGACTGCCTAGGGATTGATAACAAGTCAAGGGTGTGCTTTAGATTTTAGTTGTTGCCCCCCTTGTTCCCCCCTTTCTCTCTCTTCTGCAGAATTTTGGAAATAGGGTGGGTAAACAGAGAGCTAGGATTCTAAGAATTCTCCTGGATGGGCTCCAAAACCTCAGAGAGCCCCTGGGGCTCCCCTGCATACTCTTTGATTTGGAAGCTTGCCTGAGTCCATAACACTCCCATTCTCTTTTGCAACCATTAGTTTTGGCATCCCAGTGTGTGTCCCAGGACTCACCCAAATATCTGGACAATCCTGGCATCCACAAATCTCCCTTGGGGATTGGCACACTATCCTGATAGCCTCTAGATCTCAAGACAAACAGCCAAATACGCCTGGGGGTTGGGATCCTCAAGTTTGAGCTTTAAGAGTATGTTTTAGCAAAGTGAGGTCCATTGACACCTTGAGTATTCCAAGTGCTCAAGGGTTGAGTTTTCCAGTGAATGGAACAGTCTTATCTACTGAGCAACTGTTCTGTATGAGACACTGCACCAGGTACTGTGAGGAAAAGAGCTTAGGAGGCAGAAGATTTGGGCTTGTATTTAGAGCCCAAAACATGACCTGACAGTGTTTTTATTTAACTGCACTGTGAGCTCCTGAAGGACAGAGCCATTTCTGCTTTTCCACACCTGGTACAGTGAGGGTAGAATAAATGTAAGAATGAGTGATACGAGTATATTTTAAAGTTGTTCACTTCTTCTGAAAACAAAGTGGCGTGGCTCCAAACAGTCCAATTATTTGAGGTTTAGAGTGAGTTGGTTGCCAGCTAGTGAAGATTGGGCTGTTGTGGTATTCTCTTCCTACTTGCCTATAGTGGGCTTTTTCAGAGCCTTGAACCAAGTATCAGCAAAATGCTTTGAGATTCTTCCATTAAGTGTGCTTATTATTATTATTATTATTATGGTTGTCATTATTGTTAAGGGATGAATATATGTGATGTAAAATAGAGAACAATGGATTTGATATTTAAAGGGGGGACAACCTAATTGGAATTTCTAAGTTAAACCATTTAGAACTGTTTCAAATGAGATCAGCCAAGAGTGAGACCATATTTCAGATTAATGAGTTGGAAACACATCCCATTACTTTTCTTAGTCTTAGTAAACACATTTTTTTTCCTTATGGATTGGAGGAAATGAAAGAACAGATGAAAGACAATTGAAAGGAGGAGAGTGAAACACATTGAGAGGAGGGTTTATTAGAAAAAGGGAGGGCAAAGCAGAGACAGAAAACTTGGCTCCTCTGAGGTCATCACTTAGGCTCTGGGGTGACCAGCTGGAGTTTACACTCCCTTTCTCTTCTCAGACCCATGGTTCTTGACAACCAAGGAACTGGGCTGTAGAAGGAGGCCTCCCTGGGGTCTCTCTCTACCTGTGAGAATCCCTTGGCAGGAAGAAAAGAACACTGCAGAAATGTAAACCTCTCTAAGCAGCCAGGATGCCCTGGCCTGCACAGCTTGCTTTCCATTTCTATTCCAATTTTTGGGTTTTGTGAGAGCCTTTGGATGGTGAGTATTTGGGGGAGGTAGACTCTGAATATATGTACTCTAGACAGGAAAGACAATGGGATGCCTAAGGCCCAAAGATCAGGGCAAAAATGACAAACAAAATCTTGAATTCAGCATCCAGATGTTTGGTTACTATGAAGCCAAACAACAACATGTTCCCAACGATGGAGCTGTGTGGCAGTGGGTAGACAAAACATCTGGATGACAGCCTCAAATGGTGTTCACTTTTCTTTTTTTTCTTTTTTTTTTTTTTAGAGAGTGGGGAGAGGCGGAGGGAGAAGGGGAAAGAGAGAATCTTAAGCAGGCTCCCATGCTCAGCGTGGAGCCCAAGGCAGGGCTTGATCTCATGACCCTGAGATCATGACCTAAGCCAAAATCAAGAGTTGGACACTTAACTGATTGAGCCACCCAGGTTCCCCCAAACGGTGTTCACTTTTCATCTGCCTGCTGTGTCGGCTTATGGAGCTTGCCTGAGGCACAGGTATATATAGCAAGGAAGCTGTGTAGGAAGGAAGACTCCAGGGAGTGGTGATAAGGGGAAAGCACAGGCAATTTCTGAGCCAGACTGAATGCTTATACCCCATTGATCAGAAGCACATCTTTGGGAAAATTGGTTATAGCACATTTAAGATTTTCTGTATTTTCTATAATAAGGGCAAAGGCACAGAAGAGACCTTCTGGCTGGTTGGAAAAAAAGGCTTCACGAAGCCCCTTCCTCAGCCCCCACCAGAAGGCAAAGATGGGTAAGTAGAGTTCACACTTAGAGTCTTCCTATGCCCTAGTCTGCTCCACTGTCTTCACTATTTTTGTGTCTCTCCTGCCCCACAGGCAAGTGGGCCATGGCTTACAACCAGTGGAGATTGCAGCCTTCCAGAGAAGAAAAGCAGAAAGGCAGCTGGTGAGAAACAAGCCATAAGGTAATGGCCAGCAGGAAAACAGAGCACAGGAGTTTGCCAAATTTTCAAAGCTGGGGCTCCCTTTGGCAATGGGTGCCAGTCTCAGCCTACACTCTTTTGGCAGAGTGTGATGAAGTTGGTGAATTTCCAAGCTCCACTGAGTTGAGCAAAAACCTTGTGGGGAGGCCTGTTGCAGAGCAAGCTGCATCTGAAGGAGGTCAGCTGCCCTGGCCTGAGAGACCCTTGCCTCCTGCACTGATAACACATTTGAATGTTAACAAGGCTGGCCTTGTCATCTAGTTATCAGACAGGAGCACCTGTCTGTTTCATTGTCAAGAACCTGGACCACATGATGAGCCACCTCATATCTTTGGAGATTCACATCTATCTAAGCAATACAGCAATATTATGATGACCCCCGTTTCCCAGGATCCATTGGCAAGACCATCTTTGAGGGGATATTATGTCATTTCCTCTGGAGGCACTGCTTGATCCCTTCTGAGGTTGGCATTGCCAACCAAAATAAGACTGTTTACTCCTTGACTGCCTGGCTTGAATTCAGGACAATTTCCCCCATTGGTCCTGCTCCTACTAGAATGGTATGATTCTGAAGCAGCAACGGCCTAATTATCAATAATTCTCCCCATATATTTATCTCTGAGGAATCCATTGCTTTCTGGGGCTCCTGTCAGTATCTCTTCTCTATCTTGCTTTCTTATTTTCTCTTTTATGGAAACTTTGACCCTAAGACTTATAGCTCCCTCTACATATACTTAGAAATCACAAGATTCTGAAGTAAACATTAAGTCATCTCCACACATTCCTGCTCCCTTGTTTCAGAATAATCACAATTCTAGCAGCAACTACCAAATGCATCCACATACTTCCTGTTTTCCCATTAACCTCTGTTTAACTTTGTCAGCTCTCTATGACTGGTTCTTTCCTAAGGAAAACCAGTGTATCTTCATTTCTGCAGCTATCACAGGTACCCTCTGTAAGTCATACTATTTATGCTTCAGAAAGGCTTCAGTACTGAACATGTGTCTCCCCTGAAGCTCCATTTACCACCCTCTGCCATCCTTCCACCTGGGGCCTACCTCTGTTTTTTTTCCTCTTGGTCAATACAAGCAGATTAAGCAGCTGGGGCACACATTCATCTAATTTCCAGGAGCGTTTTTTCCCATGGGGAAGAAAACAGACACACATAGACACACGGTCAGTCTCTTTCTCTGTCTCTCTTTTTCTCACAGCAAGAAAGGTCTTGGAAGCTCTTGAAGGGTTTTCCCTTTGGTGGGGTGGCATAGACATTGTAGGCACTGTGCAAGAACCTATCCATTCCTAAGAATGTGTTGGAGCTTATAGAAGACACTGCAGCTGACTCACCATCACTGGTTGTGTACTTTGTAGTGCTTTCCCAGCACTACAGATGGATGTGGCTTAGGCCATTTATACTCACTCATCTGCACCCCCTTGACAGAGGGCATTCTTCTGTGGGCTGTGAGTATATGGGACGGATTGAAGCCAACTGGCCCCAAAGTGGATTTGACCTCTGATCTTGGCCTCATTAGCACTTATGCTTTAATCAGCATGTTAATTGACCACAGTGGCCTTGGCAGGCTGTGCAAATCACAAAAATCCTCAGGAAGAGCACCCTTGACAAATATCAGAAGGCTTGACCTAAATCTAAGAACTCTCAGACATCTCACTTCCCTCATTAAATGTCCTATGTTGATGTCATGCAGTAGCACCACTTATTCCACAATGTTTCCAACTTTCTATGAATTTTCAGGCTGACTTCTGGTGAGATAGACCAATGCACAGAAGACCCACAATACCAGTGAATGCCTCTCACCTGCTGTTGTTGTCATGGGAGCTGTTAGGGGGAAATCTGAAACCTTTAGAGAGCCCTCTGGGGTCAGACTGGGACGAAAGAAAAATGCTGTGAAAGGGGCACAGCTTTGGTGAACTGACTGTTGTGGCTGCCTCTCAAGCAGGGCCCTGCTGTCTCCCTAGTAGCTCCTTCCTCATGTCCCCAAATATCTACCACTTTTCAAACCTTTCTAAAGGTTATCACTTCATCTAGTTACTTGCCCTAGAATTTCACTAACTGGGCTATTTGGGGTTGATGAGCCTTTCAATCATAGATATACCTTTTGGAGAGTAAGGGGTGATTAATTTCTCATATCAGAGTGAAGGCGAACTGAGCTAGATGTTCAGGAGCACCTGGAAATTTCATTTTAGTTGGGACCAGGAGAAATGAGGAAGTCTGGCAGTTATGGAGAACCGAAGGTCATAGTGGAGGTCTTCAGACAACACAAGAGCAACGGATCCCTGGGAGATGGGAGAAGGGTGAAAACAAGTATGGGAGTGGAAAAGTCCGTTTATAGATTCCCCCACTTTTAAACCTTTGCTCTGGGTTTTCTTTGGACACAAAGAATGGGAAGAAAGCATGCTTTTCCTTCTGCTCTCAGGACCTAGGACCTCTGCCAGAGCTCTGATATAACTGCTCCATGTGGGTTAAATCAGCCTTTGTGGACTGGCCTAGAAACCTGACCACTACATATATATAACACAGTTTCTATGGAGCAAGGCATTCCAAGTTCCAAATCATTGACTTATAAATGTTTAGGACACATCTCATTAGTAAGTTGAAGATTACTTATATATTAACATGCCCCCTTTTTTTCTTAAATTTGTAAAAACCCTTATAAATAGCAACATCTAGTTATGCAAACCTGACAAATATAATGTTTATTTGTTCAGTGATCCAGGAAAGTTTAGCAATTTGCAAGCTTTTCATGTAGAGTGGCGTTGTGTGGCTTGGAGTCATTCATATTGAAATCCTGTGAAAGGCCTAGGGTGGAGAAGGTATGCTTACTGTGTTCTTTTTCTCCCACCCAGGAGTGAATGGCTGTGAGATTGGAATCTTCTATTGGTGAGGCAATGGAAAAGCTCACTCCAGTTCAACAAATTGTTCTGCCTGGGCAAGAAATTAGTGAATGACTATACCTCTGAGGATGACCAGTCTACGGGGTTATTCAAGCCTAACTCCAGTGTAAGGGGGCCCCTGGGAAGTAACTTTCATAAGTTTTGTTCTTTACACAGCTATCACCAAAAAGGCCATTTGAATGTAAACTGCAATGGATGTGAACCCTAAGGAAGGGTAGAGAACCACCTCCAAGTTTAGTCATTCCAAAATAACAGGCCCAACTTGGACTAAGATAAGAAGGTCTCTATTTTCACAGAAAAAGTAGGAGGCACTTTGTTTTCTTTTTCATTTCGTTTGAATCTCTAGAAAGTATTTAATGAGCATAATTTATAACTCAGATACTATGAGATTAGTGCCAGGAAAAAAAAACTTCCAGCAAACATACATCTGAATCCCAGTCCACTGTGACCTCAGTTGACTGGAATGCATAGGGAATAGGGGGGGAGGAGAAGAGTCTGGTTAATTGTGTTGTTTGGATAATTGAAGACTAAGAAGTTCCTTTGTTTTCTTATTGCTTATTATTCAAAATCTTTCCACAACTGTCATGGTCTCTTTTCCTGTCTAAGTAAGGAGAATCTAAGCAACATAATTGAATTATCCTCACTAGATAGGTGAGTAGCTCACTGGGCCTCAGGGTTATAAATTCTGAACATGACGGAAGAGATGTAAGAGATATTGTCAGGGTAAAAGATACAGAAGTAGTGGATTGGATTGAGCAATTCCCTTTAGGTTTTATTCTTTTTCTCCCTTCTCCTGCCCACTCTGCCTTTCAAGCCCCTACCCTGGCCCCTAAAATAAATCCCTTTGAACATTTGTTTTTACTTTGTGCTTTTAGTTTTCCAGATTCTACTTTCAAGGGGTTATTGGCAGTGGCTTGCCACAGTCACATGGACCAAAGCAATAAGACTTAAGTCACAGGCATGTTTAAAATAGTTAAGCAAGGTTTTCCTCCCTTTTATTATAAAAAATAATCTCTTTATTAAAACAGCTGAACCCAAACATATCAGCCAGTAAAGCAGTTAATTCTTTTAGAACAAGCCTTTTTTAAAAAAGAAATACCTAGTGTATAATTTGATACCTTTCTCACTCATATTTAATTTTTCCATTATCAACTCACCCTGAATCTAAGCTTAAAGTCAAAAGCTCTTCCTGGCAGTTTCCCCTCCACTTTCAGTCAAAACAAACACCCTCGGACTCTTCATAGAAGCTTAACCTCTCTCAGCCTCAGGTAGTCTATTTACTACGCTAAAACTGTTCAAGAGGATGCAGAAGAGGCTGATGTTGCCTTTCAGCTTCCTTGATCAGAGTTTCTAATTCCTTTTTCTAGACATGGCGGAGGAGAAGGAGACATAAAATATCATCCTCTACTTGTGGCTAGGTCTCAGTCAAAAGCTGAGCTTTTAAGAATTCTATAGAGGCAAAAAAAAAAAAAAAAGAAAAGAATTCTAGAGAGGCAAGGGCCAAGAAAGATACCAACTCGAAACAGAGGATTTCACTTCTCCTAGAGGAGGTGGCACTGCCCTCTATTATGAATTGGAAGGATCATTGAGGGCAAGGGAGGGGGATGGGGCTGCAACTATAGGCTCCATGGATCAGGATTCTCCCAAACCTAGTCCAGTCCTTTAGTGCAGGAAGTACAGCCCCAGGGCTAGGCCTGCAAAATATTGAGCAACAAGACCCACTGAGGGGAATCCATTAGTTCTGTGTCTGATCCTATCCCTTATTTCCTTCTTTGGTATTTCTCAAGTCCAGCATGTCAACCAAACCCACCTTTTATAGCCTACTAATCCTGTCTTGTGCATGATCACATCTTTCTTTGCTTGATTTTGTCATGAACCCCTATCTAAAACCAGTCTATTCTTTCTTGTATTCTTTTTCATTAAGGCCTTCTGCATTGACCAAAACTAAGCTCTCTTTAATTTGCTTAGCATTTTAATTATCTGTGGAGAAGAAAAACACTCTCTACTCCTCTGAACCATAGTGGAGTAAAGCCTATTTCTTATATACAACTGATCATTTCTCTCTTCACCT